TGGCGGGTGTATGTAGATATTTGCGAAGTGTTATGTACGTGAAAATGCAGTTATTATTCGCAGGCGTCAGGGAGAAGCTGGCGAACGAGTCCCCTTTGGATATTTCTTCCAATTCACCAATATTAGACAATATCCCTGCGGTCGCAATCGTGATGAGGGAACACGCCGGCAGAAGAGGCTGCTGGAAAGGAATAAAGGCCCAAGTTAAACGAATGCGATGCAAACAAGACGACGACCAAGAAGATCAAAGAGACTGAAGTAGATGACATTAGACCAATAAATTGCTCCTCTGGTGACAACATACCAAGATACAAGAAGAAAGAAACAGCAAATATAACCAATGTCTAGACTTAAATATGGATATCGTAGGACCGAATAGATTGTCTGTATAGCTGTATTTCGAGCACTCTGATTCTGTACAATTTGCACTTTCATATAATTTTCTTCGTGTATGTGTGTTTACCACCACCACCATTTAAAATGTATTTTGCTTTCTTTTTTTTTTTTTTTTCCTGCCAACCCTTCAGATTTCTCAAAAAGTCTTTACTGAATAAACGCTAAGAGGACCCCTAGACATGGGTCCCCGCCACCTTGTTTACTTCCCCCACCCTCTGCGAGTTAGGTATAACTCTGCTTCAGAAACAGCCTCTGAAATCTCTCATTTGTCGCTCACAACATTAGATTAGATCCCCGCGTCTGTAAACGCACATTTCATTTGAATTAATTTTTTCCAATCGGGGAAACAGAGAACGGGCGCAGATTTCAAAGTTTCGGTCACTGCAATATTCTCAAACGCTTTAAAAATAATCCTCTAGGAAGGATTAATTGTTTTGGTGCTTGGTTTATTTATTTTTTTTCTTGTGAACTTTGGACTACCTCTCTTTGACTCTCAGCTTTTCCGGGAAGTAAAATGTAGTGATAAAACGGTGCTCATAAGTTATAAGCGACCTGGGAGCACTACATGATTATGGCTTGTGTACTAAGCAGTATCTTGATGTGATTCATACTAGAGAAGATTTTGTTGGTTTGGAATCTGTTCTCACCATAATTTATCCACGATTATAATGGAGCGTGCTGTGCCAAGTTATTACTTAGTATGACAACGCATAAACACTTTTTAATTTCAATGTAATTTTACTGCCCAAGGAAAAAAATTAATCATAATAAGTTTAGCAATGCCATTGTAGACAAACATTTGATAGGAAGGCTGTTGTTAGAAAGCAGGGAGTGGCTGTTAGTCTTTATCCCTTGAAAGACTTAAATTTTTGAAGCAATGCGGGGGAAAAACTAGCTCAGTGCATTCCTTCCGGATCCTAAATTTCGATATAAAGAGAATGCCTTTGATTTAAGGAAATGTAAATAAAACGCAGAGAAAGTAGTTCTGTTACAGAGTACTACTCTGTACTGTAAAAATGCAGCGATTTGTTTAGTTGTCTGGCGTAAACTTAAAAATACAGCGTTCATACTTCAGCTCACATTTTATGCTTCCTTTCCTCCTACATTTATTTTCCTTTCAATCACTTTTTTCTTCCACCTCTTTTGGCAACTGCCATCTGAAAATATTCCACAACTCCCCACTATGCCTCATTCTCAAGACGAGGAAGCCAACAAAAGCAAAGCGGAAAAATAGTAAAACGATTCGAGGAAACAAAATAGAAGGCGAGGGTAAGTTAGGAATGACTTTGAGAGACCCGTCAAGTTTGCAGACCATCATCCTTCTCACATCTGTGTAATATAATCACAACGGGTCCCACAGACCTGAAATTGCTGGGGACACAAGCAAGGCTTTTTATGTGTATGAAAGACAGCTGTTGAAGAATTTCATCCGCCGGTAAATAATTTACAAACGAGATTTTTACGGCGCTGCAGGTTCCCCGCACGGCTGTGTCTCACATAAGCGGGGTGGCCAAGGGCATTGGAAAATCCATCGGTCGTCCCCAGTGCTCTGAGGGTGAAGCTCTTCGGGTGATCTCCTACCGGGCTAAGCCGGGGAGACCCTCTTCCGTCATGACTGAACCCTTCAATTCCCCCTTTCTCCCAATATTTCATTTCATACAATCCCTTCGGGAGATCAGGATACCCTGTTTGCAGGATCAGAGCTTCACCAGAGAAAGGCGAAGGTTTGGGGCAAGAGAAAGAGGAGCTGGCAGCTCCGTGCTAGGGCTCCATCCGTCTCTATCAGATAATACGAAATGTCTCGGTATTTTGAGAATAATAAATGCACGGTACGTCCTTGGTGCAGATCAAGATCTACTTTTGCCACGAGTGCACCGAGCGTGGCTAGGCGGTAAATACCACCCTTAATGGAGCCCGCTTGGAGGGATAAGTGGGGGAAAAAACCTGCGGCAAAAGGGGAGAAAAAGCACCCTCAAACCCACCAGCCTTTGTTAAAACCAAGCCAGCAGTTCCAAGCACAGTTATGCTCCCATAAAGTCGACATTTTAGGAGCTTTCGGGGAGGTGGCCGGGCGCTTGATGGCGGAGGGCGGGCGGGCGCTGTTTCGCGGGGTCACAGCGCCACCTGCCGCCGCCCGGCCGCCACCGCCGCGCCGCCGCCGCCGCCGCCGCCCCGGCCCGGCGGAGCCAGCGCCTCTGCCCGCCAGCCCACGGCAAGATATATGTCCACCTCCCAGCCTGGATTTAAGCAGGGGAAGGCCAATAAAAGGTTGTTATTTCCGCTCTCCCGCTTTATCTAAAACAGCCAGACAAAACAAATGAAAAGGCTTTTGTAGAAAATCTTAATTGTGGCTGGACAGTTGTAAACTCATTAAGAGCCGAATTCCAGACAGTTTGCAGACCCGTCATTTATTACACACTCTTAATGCTGATTCTTTGAAGTTGCCTCTGTCTGCAACAACAGAGGGCGTCCCAGCATCCCCAAATACTGGCTCGGGGATCAATTAGAGGGTTTTTTGTGTGTGTGCGCACCAGAACGAGCTCCTTTTTGCCAATTAGAACTCATCAAATCTTATGTCGGGTTTCTTTCTTTTTTTCTTTTTTCTTTCTTTTTTTTTTTTCCAAGGTAAAGACGAAAGATTTTTTTTTCATCCCGCAGTTCTGCACATCTGTAAACTTCTTACCGGCTCCCTAAGTTTTGTCTTTAGCCCTGCAGCGTTTTACACCCCATAAACGGTTACAGCAGTCATTTTCTTTTATTGCACTGTAGTATGGCTCTGAATTTTCCTAACAACAACTTCTGCCAAGACCATAAGCATGTTCCGTCTTATTTTGCTTTAAATACATACATATATGTAAGGGTACCTCCGTAAAACAAGAAGGATTTTATTGTTATTCGACATATTTGCAAACAAGGGTCAGTGTGGTGCAGAGCTGTGCTGCGATTCGTGTTATGGAGGATATCTACTCTGAGCAGTAAGATGTCCGCCCAAAACATCGGTAAATTTCAGCAAGCTCACAGACTACGCTATTTTCTTTTGTTGCTGAGCTTGATTTGGCTTGGGGCGGCGGGGGAGGGGTAGATGAAATGAGGAGGGGGTGTATGGAAGTCTTCGACTCAGAAGAAAGCAGTTTTCTGTTTTTAAAAATAAATCCTATTTTGTCTTCTCTGCTCTAGACTGTTGCCAGCCCACCTATTTCCCTCGGCTAAATCAGCGAGTAAAATTGACACCATAAATTCTACCACAATTGTCAGTAAAATTTTATCTGTATCTATATCTATCTATAAATACATATATAATCTGAGGAGCTACTACAATGCAACGGGTTGCTTTTATTTGCCCCGGGGCATTTAAAAGGGGAAAAAAAAATCCCAAAAGTGAAGGCAAGGGAAGGAAAAAAGTGAGTGGCGTTTGAAATAACATATTTTGCATGGGAAATTGTCTCTAGAAGGGAATATAAAATTAACGCCCTTGTAAGGCGATCTTTCTCACGGTTTGTGGAAGCACATTTAGTGCTGGACATTTTCTGGTGGAGGCTAATTAACCGTCTCAGCTTAAATGTCGCTGTCTGAGCTGATTTACATTATGGTCCGCACTAAAGAACGTCTCGGACATTTTGGTTTGGTCCTAATTCCACCGCTCCGCCGGCGAATTTACTAAATCGGCGTTAGATCAGGACCGTGCCCCGCAGCCATCCAAAAGCACCAGCTTACCAAAATCACATCCGGGAGGGAGGAAGAAATGCCTCCCCTCAGAGAAGTTATGGCATTTAGGACCTGAATCTGCCCGTTTAGAACGAAAATAAGCCCCATTTTCCATCACCTGGGGGCTGCGTTTATAGAACCGTAGGTTTGCCTTGGCTCAGAAATAATACCGCTCCTCGCCTCCGCAGCTGCCCTAGCCCTGCCATGTCTGCTGGAAGACCCCCTCCTTAATAATGTTAAAACATCACAAAATATAAAAGAATCAATATATTTTATTTGGCAAAAAGTTAAATATCATTTCAACACAACGATTTGGTCAGTAGGCCATGAGGTAACTATTTCAAAATAGACAGTGTACGTTCTTCATCAACATAAATTCCCAGACTTATTTTTTTAATTGATACAAATTTACAATAACCAAATGTAGTTTTTTATAATGTATAATTTATTATCAATAAAATTAACCTTCATTACAATAACCATCAAATAATTCGATTAAAATTCAAACGTAAACCATAGGTAGTTACCCTTTTCACATATACGTATAGCTCCGAAATCTGCTAACTGCTCACTGGTGCAAAAACAATATTTAAGCTAGTCTGTTTACTTACTTTTTTAATATATAGATTATATATACAACCGACAAAGACAGTACTATATATATATCAACTGTGCATACTAAAATGACTTGTTTCATATTTTGAGAACCGTAATTCCCAGACATTCCGGACGAACTTTTTTTCTACTTTTTTTTTTTTTTTTTTTTTTTTTTTTTTGCGTTGGGATATATATATAATATATATATTTTACAATCAAAGGTTAACTGTCTAATTATACAGAAAAGACTTAATACACTACAGAGCTATACTCTATGCAATGTTTATAATAAACAACCTGAGTTCAAATTGAATTCTAGCTTACACCATTACATCCGGTACAGCACCCAAGCACATAAATTGAGTCACAAACATAATTACCACAATAAAACACAGTGTTCAAGTATTAGAGCAGAGATCTCTCTGCCGCGCAAAGAGCGAATAAAATTAACTACGTAGGCTAAACTATACAGTCCGTAAATAGTTGTGCATTATGAAAAGGTAGTTTTTTTCTTTTTTTTCTTTCAATAAGTGAAGAAACAGGTAGATTTATACAAGCCAGTTAAACAGCCTTTTCGTGCTAATGCCCCCTTTTTCTTTCCTATTAGAAAATTAGAAGTCTTACTGTACCTCTCCTGGCACTCTGGCCTCTGTGACAATCACTGTACAATCATAATCAGAATTTGCCAAGGGAAAAAAAATGAGGCCTGGACCCAGACGCATTGCATGGCAGGGCTCGAGGGGAGGATTTCTCTTTTTTGTTTGTTTGTTTGTTTGTTTTGGTTTTAATTTTTTCTTTTTTTTTCTTTTATTTTATGCATTTTTAATTTAACTCGTGTGGTTCCATCATTCGTCCTTTGCTCGATCTTTGTTGATTTTCTTCATTTTCATCCTCCTGTTCTGAAACCAGATTTTCACTTGTCTCTCAGTTAAATTGAGGAGTCTGGCAACCTCATATCTACGGTCCCTAGTGAGATACATATTGAACAGAAACTCCTTCTCCAATTCCAGCGTCTGATGCTTGGTGTAAGGGCATCGCTTTTTCCTGGTGGACCTTGCGTGGAGCCAGTTTGCAGCTGGATTATCTACAACGAAAACAAGAGAAGTTCAGGCTGAGGGGGGGGTGAGGGGTTTGAGGGAGGGGTCTGGGAAGGCAATCCACGCAGAAACTGCCGATTAAGTGTCCCGGTGTTCGTGTTTAGGACGTGGCTCTCCTTTCCCGAGGCACAGAGGATCGTGAGGCACAATGGACTCCAAAATACAGACACATGGAGAGGTCACACGCAACCACACGCGGCAAAGCCCCGTTGCCCCCGCCTTCCCTCGCCTTTTTTATTGTTTCTGGAATACAATTTTAAAATACTTTCTTCTCCCCCCTCTCTCCCTCTCTCTCTCCCCCTCTGTGCTAGATCCCTACCTCCTTCCTGGCCTCCCCACCCCCTTTAAACTGCCAGCACGGGGTGTGACCAGCCAGACTAATATGTCATCGAAATTGTTTCACTTTTTTATTTCTACCTTCTCCCGTGTCATCCCTGGCAAGACCCCGGAAGCTGGAGAGTCAGTCTACAACTGGCATAATTAAACCCTCGCCCTCTTAGGACCCTTATTCGCACGGCGTTAATCGCGATAGTAATCCCGAGGCGCTCTGCCACCAGTTTCGAAGCCCTGGGAGCATCCAGCCTGGGGGTTTCCACAGAGGAGTCGAAGGGGGGAGGGGGGAAATCAAGTCAACGGCGGGGGGTTTCTGCTCTCACACCATCAATAGCCGCCCCGGCCTGAGAGCCGTCTCAAAAAAGATCAGATTCACATTCAATGCTTTCTAGGCACACTGTCCCCGGCGTCTGCCCACGCCTGGGAGCGCGGCGAGGCAGGGTGATGTGAGCACGTCCCGAGGAGTTTGCTGGGGTGGCTGGAGCAGGGGTGGGCGGCTATTGCATTTCTCTCTCTCTCTTTTTTTTTTTTTTTAATGTTTGTTCAAGTTGCAGTTGTAGAGTGAGTTTTTGTTTTCCTTTCAGCCTGGAAAGCCAGAGCCGTCCTAGATCCCGTTCGAGCCTGAGAAAGGCAGCGCTGGCTTTTGCAGATGGCAGGCTGGGGCGAGCTGGCGCAGCGGCGGCGGCAGCAGCGGCCGGTGCTCGGCCACGTAATTAGCCCCAGCGCCTCGATACCTCCCCGCGGCCAGCGCAGCGCCCTGAAGTCCATTACCCTCGCAGTCCCACTTACTTGGATCGATCTGCGGTTTCTCTCCGTTTGCCTCACTTTCTCCATTGCTTTCAGAGAATGCGCCTTCGTGGCTTTGCTTATCCCTATCAACTGGAGGAGAACCACAAGCATAATCAGAGAGAGACAAAGTGTGAGTGTCAAACGTGGTACAGTCAGCCCTCCTGGCCGCCAGCGGTTCAGGTTTAATGCCGTAATGCCTGCTGGTAGGTAACCCGGGGAAAGACAAGGAGCCCGGCACAGGCTCAAGCCACGAACGCATGTACCTGCCGTCGGGCGGTGCCACGGGCGCCTGGTGGTGCGCGTAGGGGTGGTAGACGGCGGGGGCGCCGGCGGGGTGCGCGGGGCTCCAGGGGGGGCCGAAGACGGGCGCCTTGGGCTGGAAGCTGCAGGGGGCCAGCTCGGGGTGCTCGGCCAGCGCCGCCGGCCGCGGCGGCGGCCCCAGCGGGGCGGGGGCGTAGCGGGGCGCCGCCAGCTCGTCCCCCTCCGGCACCAGGAAGGAGTCCACGTAGTAATTGCTGAGGGTCCCGGGAGCCGACATGGCGGGCGGGCGGGCGCGGCGGACCCGCCGCGGTTCGGGGCTGCGGGTTTCACGTAACAACTTGGTGCGGGCGGGGAAGTAGAGTCAGTAATAAGTTGGGGGCAGCGCGGGCGCCCATTGGCTGCGCCAGTCACGTGGCGAGGGAGCAGAACAATAAAGTATAAATCAGTCCGCGGGCTATTAATGGGTCAGTGTTTTCCAGCCATAATTTTTATAGCGAGGCCATATGTTTTTATGCAAAGGGATATTTGAGTTATACGGTGGGGTTTGTTTTAATTGCGGCCAACTGAGATTAAAAGATCAGATTCCGTATTACAGCCCCCCTTCTCTCCTTCTCTCTCTCTCTTTCCCCTCTCTCTCTTTATTTTTTCGTTTAAGCGGACTATTTTATATCATAATTAATCATCCCATCAGTGGGTCGTGTTCCCCGCGAAAAAAGAATCCCACCACCCTTGTGATCGGAGACCTTCACATAAAGTGATACAATAACTGAAGCAATAAAAAAAGCAAAATAACAGTTGCGGTATACTGTATTTAAACATACATTTATTATATTTCATAAGGAGTTATTGTTTCGGGAGCCACGGGGTTGTTATTAAGTCAGTAACTATGAGCGCGCTCATTTGCATCGCTGTGTTTCTCAGCAGTAAAAATTTACGAGTGCTTGGAAAGGTTAAATTATACTGTTGTGTTTAGTTTGGGAACCCACTGTAAATAATACCGTTCCGTTCGGCTCAGAGCTGGCAGCGGAAAGTCAAATTCAACGTATCCCCTTTCCGAAACCGCGGCTCAGAGCCGGCCCTCCCCGCCCGGCCGGAGGAGGACAGGGGCAGGCGCTGGCTCGTTACTTAGGCTGGCCCGCACCAAACTGCACTTCACCACCCCACCCCGCAGGGCATGGCGCGGCAGTGACCGAAATACCCTCCTCGTCCTCCCCGCCGCGCCTGCCCGACCCTGCCCTTGGACCGGGGACCCCTCGCCAGGCCGGGGAAAGGAGCCGGGGCTGGGCGGCTCGGCTGCGGCCGGAGCGGAGCCGCCGTCGGGACCGGGAGGGAAGGAGCGCGGGCAGAGCCGGGCGGCGATATTTATCACGACGATTAATTCTTCAACTATGCAGGGAAGCAGCGGGGGGAAAGGGGAGAAAAAGCCCCGTCTCCCCGCTGCCGAAAGGCACCCTGCTTCTCCGGGCGGCTATCAAAGGGGCGTTCGCAGTCGGCCGTCCCGCATTCTGGTGAATCAAATTTATGTGCAAATATAGTTATTTATTTGCTGGCACCTCCTATGACTGCAAGACACACGCTAGCGGCATCGGAAGCCAAGCGGAGGGTTACAATCCTCCGCAGAAGGAGGGGAGGGTGCGCGGGGGAAAAGTAAGAGGCGGCCAGATCCAAGTCCAGTGTTAGGAATTAAAGTCGTGGCTGAGCGCTTGGCAAACATGCCTGCGACTCTTTGGTTTCTCTCTGGCGGACAATCACGCTGTTTATCCCCGTGGCTGGTGAAGGAGCGCGGTCACCAGGATGCAGGGGGCACAAAAAATCTCCACGAGAGGCTCAATTTATTCAAAAAATCTTTTATTGAAAATAGAGCCCAGCAAATGGTAGGGACGACTGAGTAATAATTAAAATCGCGTGTAAAGACTGTGCATGCGAAAGTGTGGTTCTAATTAGTTTTACATCGCTATGTGGGCTGTCTCTCTCCCTCTCTCTCTCTCTCTTCTCTCTTCTCTTTCTTTTTCTTTTTATGTCTTCTCAACAGTTTAATCCGAAATTTTACAGAGGTCCTATTTTAACAATGCTCTCTTCCCCATTCAGAATTACAAAGGTCCATAATGAAACTATTATCCCCCATTAGAGTTCAAAAATTACGGAGCAGTTGCAGGACCTCAATAAACAAGGGGCCCGTTATTTTCTAACAATTTTAAAAATGCAAATAAAGCTCTCTGACTCTTTTTTTTCCCCCGCTATTATATAGACCCTCCGTAATAGAAAAAAATAATTGTATTTCTTTCCTGGAAAGACGGAACTCCACGTCATTCGTATTTATTATTAAGAGTCAGCTGTGGTGAAATGTGATTGTAGAACTTCCTTTTTCCATTCAGAAAAAATAATCTTAGCTGCAGGAGTCCTGGATGTTTATACTCGAATTTGGGTTCTCAACTTCAGCAGCGGGTTTCATTTTTTTGGTTCCTCACCAAAACTAATAGCAAATGAATAACAATAACAGTAGCGTTTAAAAGAACGTGTCTGCATTTTTATTTCCCTGTAAAATTCTGTATTTGTTCACTGCCAGCATCCAAGAGGAAGGACAGGGTGTACAGAAAGCAAGAGGCAAAATCTGGCAAATAATTAGACATTTTTCACGCGGTAACGATGCTGATAAAAACGCTGGGATATTCTCCTCTTTTTTTGTGCGGTTTTAGATCCATTTACAACCAAAGTACAGTTTTCACGCGAGTTACAAAGACGAGTGGGCTTCGTACAGTTTGTGTTGCAAATGCCTTAAGGTTTTGGTGCCTTATACGTTCGGAGGCAAAAGACTCCAAGCAGGGCAGAAACAGGCGTTCATGTAAAATTGCTATATGAAACCGGAATTCCCAGGAACGAAGCACTGATGGAGCCATTGTGTCTGAATAAAAATACTCCTCCATACCGACATAACCGAATTAGCAGAGCTCCCATTCGTCTAGCTCTGACCCCCGGCTGCAACAGGAAGGATCCCATCGGTTTTCAAGCGAGAGACATCTGCAAACTCTGCTTCATTAGCTACGCACCAAGGAGGCGCGGAGTATACTCGGGCGCGGGGCAGAAATCCGCGGGCGTTGGCGACCTCTCCTGAACGGGAAGTTCAGGATCGCTTTTCCCCAGGGTTTCCTGCCACTGCAGAGCTCTCTGAACCAGTGGTGCTATGAATGCACGGAGGGGTTTTGGCACAGTGAAGAGAAAAAATTATTCAGAATTTAGGGGAAGCAGTCCAAAGTCAAGATGAGGCGATTCAATTGGGAATCAAAAGGGCAGAGGCAACAAACGCCATACAGGCACGCACAGTCATAGGCACAGTAAATACACTCCCCGAATGTACACAGCCCCAGCAGATAGCCCGTCAGACTCACAGTGTATGCAGAGACAGACACAAGCACTTAAATTTGGCTGCAATGCAGAGCTCTGCTCCTGCCCCGGCCGGGGACATCTGCTTCTCTAGGGATCGGTCTAGCTAAAATCCGCTATCCAAACTCTTTTGAGCCCCTGCAGCCCAACCTGGACTTTCCAAAAAGTTTATAGGTTTTACCATTGTTATTTTTTTAAGGAAAAATAATCACGACTCCTAAAATCTTAAATAGAAATAAATGCCCAAGGAGTGAGTTCTCGGTCCTTTCCCGCACCCTCCTTTCCGCCACGGAGGGTGCCCGGCTCCGCGGGTGCGCCGGGGCTGGCTGCCGGCGGAGGGCTCGGCGGGAGCCCGCCCATAGCCCGCGGTTGCGCTGCGGACACAAAAGGCGGCGGTGGCGGCGGCGGCAGCGGGCCCGGAGAGGTCGCTGTTGCCCGTTCCGCCTCCGCGGAGAGACCGCGCCGCAATCGTGATCGTAACCGAGGCCTTGCGGGCCGCGGGGCAGCCGGCGCCCCCGGGCAGCCCCGGCGGAGCGGGCCCGACGGGCGGCTACACAGAGCCGGCGGAGCCCTGTGACAGACTCCGGCAGGCACCAGCCACCCCACCGCGGGGGACGAGAGCCGCCGGCGAGGTCGGCACCCCCGCCGCCAGTGGGTCCACCCGACCGCGGGCGCTGTGCTCCGGGCCCTTGTTTTTGATGACGCGTGGAGCGGGGCCGGCAGATTTGAACTCTCCCCACCCCCTCCCCCAGGCACGCTTTCGGATCTCTTGTTTTTTAATAAATCCAGGCTGAAAAATAAAAGCGTCCCCCCACCTCCCCCGACCCCCCGAGCTCGACCCACGCCGAGCGGAATGCAAAACGCACCTGACCTTGAATGCAGCCAACGAGATACATTAAAAACCCGCAAGCAGGCAGGGACTCGCTTAGGAGCTAGCTAACCTTGAAGAACTTGTCAAGCTTCCCCCCTCGGCTGCCGTGTTTATCTGAGGAATCAAAGGAGGCTCCGCTGCAGATGGGAAACAATGGCATTGGGACTTGACGCCTACAGTTCACTTCAGCGCTAAGATTTCTTCGGGCAGAATGGACCCTCGCACCAAGCATACCTGGTGATGATATCAACTGAAGTAATTAAGGCAGTTTCGTGCTGTAGAGAGAAAGGTGGAGCCCCAACAACATGAAACTACCTAAACCACAGAGCAGTTCTCAGGCGCTAATTATTACTTTCCCCATTGCCGTGGTCCTTAACGCAAGGATCCCGCTACGAAAATAAAACCAGAAACGTGACTAAAACATCCCTCTCTCCCTCCCGCCCACCCCGCCGGCACCCCTCCGCGCCCCCCGGCCAGCCTCGGGTGGGTTAATGAAAACAAGAATAAAATATAATAACAACCACCCACACAAGCACGCGCGGGCAGCTTTCGCCTTTCCATGCAGATGCAACCGGGAAAAAAAAAAAAAAGCCCGTGCACGACAATGTTACATCATGAAAAGCTAACGGCTCCCAAGAAGCCCGGGTTCAAAGTCTGTCCCCCCCTCCTCCCGGCATACATATACCCTTGCAAGGAAGCATTAGCTGTCGCTTTTCTTCCAGCCTTCCTTTTGCCTTCCCATTGTGCGAGACTTTGTGCAAGCTAAACATGCATCAAGGAAGGGAGGATGCTAAAAAAAAAAAAAAAAAAAAAAAAAAAAAAAAAAAAAAAAAAAAAAAAAAAAAAAAGGCAGCTGGGTGAAATAAGTTCTTCCACATGCAACCAGGTAGGGAATAGCCTTGTTTGGAGGGGCCCACTGGCAGGGAGACAAGACCTGGGTCCCCCCCTCCCCATGAGCTCACCTTTACGATTTCTTCTCAGCCCTGAGATAAAGCTAGCATTTTGTCAGCCTCTTCTGGAGTTAAAGATCTCCGCACACTTGTAGGTGTTCGATTAAAAAAAAAAATCGTTTCCCTTCCCTCAAGAAATAGCAATTTGCTTCCTCAGTCTATGCAGCTCCTCAGTCAACTGAAACCACTCGTTCAAGACAGCAACAATCCAGATATACTAGCAAGTCATAAAACTGAACAAAAGCCGACAAACCTTAGAGCACCATCGCTATATGGCCCAGACAAATTACGACCGTCTAGGTAATATTTAAATAGATTCCTAAAGTAATTGCAGGGGGTTTAGGCAACTATTCCTGTTGTAAAAGTTCTCGAAGACATAAAGTAGAACCTGAGGATAAACAGTCACAAAAAGAGGTAAAATTAAAAGGATTCATTCCACGTTTTTTTATTCTTCTATGAGAACATAAACATCGTCTTTTTCACGCACAGCAGCATTACAATATTAATTTATTCCGATTTAAGGTAAGAACTAGATATAGCTAGAACTAACATTTATAATAACAATATAATGCATTTGCTTAAAACAGTATCGGCATTTTAATAATAATAGACATTTATCCATATCTGTATTTATAGCTTTTCCCCTTCTTTCTTTTTTTCTCTTTTTAAATTTTTTTTTCACCCATATGTTTGACCCTTTAATGCATATAACTTCACAGTATAAAGGAAGACACGTTCTCCCTTGCAATCTCAGACTCTGGCTCAGAAAGTCCATCTCATGTTCAGGATATGTACTTTTCAGTGAAATTAGTGAGGAAAAAAAGTGACTATTTCTTTCTCAAGGGGGAATTTCTGTGTGCTTGTCATGCGTTACCAATGGTAACATTATATATAGACACAAAAAAAATAACTAATTCCACATATTTAAGCAAAACTACATTAAGTAAATATCTACAACCAGCAAGAGAAATTCAGAGGTAAGAGTAATAATTTAGTCCATGAGCAAAACGAACTCTTTTATACCTTTAAAGAGAAGAGATTTCATTTTCCTGGCCAATTTTAAAGCTGTAATAATGACTTTTAAGGTAGAACAAAAAAAAAAATTCTCTTAACACCCGTTCCCATGAAACCCTTTTAAAGCATGCCTGCATTTCATTATTTTAAGTCCTGCTTTTCGAAGAAAAAAGGGGGAGGGGGAGAAAAGGAAAGGAGAGGAGGGAACCCAATATATAGAAATATGGCAAGGCTTAAATTCTTCATTGTGCAGCTACATATAGTCCAAGTTACAGCACTTATATTTTAAAAGAATGTACCTTTAACCAAGATTGTTTAGTTTTCAAAGAGACATATACAGGAAAACCTATTTGCAGCTTCTGAAATCGTATTTCTATGTTTCAAAGCTTAGAGGAACAAATCGGCCCGGAAGAAGGCTGAAGGAAGAGGGGAGGTTCACGCACGGCATTTTGTTCTTTAGTGTGGCTTTAGTCTACCCACCCCTTCACCCCTCAAAGTAGCTCTTAAGAGGTTAAGGACGTAATGAGAGTGTCTAAAATCGTTAATCCATACAGGTGCGGATGACTACAGCCTAGGAAAATGATACTGGCTCTTTAAACCATAAAGACGTGTTTACGGATTCATCAAGAGAAATTAAAGTTGGCTGTGAGCTCCCGAATCCTATTCTCTCTGTTCATTTTCTTCAGTTTCATTCTGCGATTCTGAAACCAGATTTTAACTTGTCTGTCTGTGAGGTGGACTGTGCGGCTGATCTCTAGGCGACGCTCACGAGTCAGGTACATATTGAATAGAAACTCCTTTTCCAGCTCGAGAGTTTGATGCTTGGTATAGGGGCATCGTTTCTTTCTGCCACTTTTTGCCGTGAGCCAGTTAGCTGCATTTTCTCCTTTTGAATTTCCTAGTTTTGAGAAAGTAAAAAATGGACGTTACTATCGAGTCAGAGGCAAGGAACTATGGGGGAGAGGGTGAAAGGAGCATCCATGTGGGCTCGCTCCGCCAGCTGCGGAGAGTTGGAATGTGGGGTATCCTTGTGGGAACCAAGAGCTTCGAAGTGGTTTCCCAAAGGCGCTGGATCTACCTTGGTAAAAACTGACACTGTTCAAAAACCTCCTCTCCTGGCGTGTAGTTCAACTCCGACACCCCAAAACAGGCTTCTATTCTCTCCCTGTTAGCCGCTCAGAGCCCACTGTTACCGGGGGCAGCTTGGTGGACGACCTGTAGGCTGATTTCCAACTCCACCCCTGCCACCTGCCTCCAAAAAACCAAAGCCTGTGGATGCGAACTTTTTAAGTGTGCTATGGAGGTGGAAAACAAGGTGAGCTGGGGAGCCGAAGCCTCCCTGCCTTTCGACCCTGCCTTTCCAGAATGCTTCACCGCGGCCCTCTCTTTTCCTTAGCATTTCAGAGAAGAAAAAAAAAACCAACAATAATAATAATAATAAAAACATCAAAGATGTTCCCCACTGGCTGGGAAAGAGGTAACACCAATCCCTTGGTGGCTCAGAGTTAGTGGTTTGGGGTTGGCTCTCTAGTAGTTTTTCTTTTTCTTTCATTTTTTTTTGAATATTATTTTCCAACAGTGCGCTTGAAAGGAATAACAGGGCGTCTGAAATGCGAATGGAGAGAAGCTCCTGAAAAGTCTGCCGCCCGGGGAAGGGGAGTTATTTTTTGCCATGGGGACCCGAAAGGGAAATAAATGAGGAAATGTATAAATAACAGCTCTGTTATCTAGTGTAGACGCTGAAGGATATTCGCGGTTGCATTCATCAGTCTAATTTGATAGCAGCTCATAGATGGCACATTTCAGCGCGGCTGTTATTTCGAAAAGCATTCTGGATCGTAAAATATAACTTACCGTGTTAATAGGTTTATTTATTGGCACTGCCTATTGCTTATTTTGGATGCTTCACAAACATCTCTGTTATCTGGTAGGCACCTTCACAACACAGGGGAAAAAGTGATCTTGTTATTTTATATGTTTAAGTAGCATGCAGGCTAAAGTTGCCCATTGCGGAGGCTCTAAGGATTTTAAACTACAGGACGGACATTAATTTTTACGGCAACCCCATGCCCGAATATTACAAAGTTCAGGAGGTCAGTCTGAGCAGCGCTTCTTGGCAGCCCCGTGGGGCAGCTGGGATCCTCCTTTCGCATCGCGATGCCACTATGATCCTCAACAGTTTTTTTTTTCCTTTCTTTTTTCTTGCTTTTTAAATCATCACTACCGCCATTACTATCATCATTCGCTTACCTACGGGCTCTTTCTCGGGAGAAGCTTTGCTGCTCTCTGACGGAGCTGGAGAGAGCTCCTCTGCGGTGGAAGATGAAGCCTGAGTCTCGTCCTCCCTATGGGAGACGCACGCCAAGGGGCTGGGGGAGCGTTCCTCGTCCTCTTTCCTCCCCGCGTCTGGGACAGGAGGCAAAGATGGAGGTGTCTGGAAGCGGCCGGGGGGCTGCGGAGGGAAGGGGGCAGCCCCGGCCGGCCCCGCGCCGTAGTTCTTGGAAGTGCCATAAGTCTGGGAGAGGCGGAAGTAGCCCGGTACGGGAACCCCGCCGCCGCTGCTGGCCGGGCTGACCTCGGCACTCAACCGGGGGAAGGGAGCGAGGTCTGTGGCGCCCGAGCCCTTGGGGCATTTCTCTGAGTCATAGAGGCAGTAGGAGCTCTCCTCCTTAATGCTTGGAGCGAAGGAGCACGAGGTGGCCTGCTGGCTCTCCGGCTCTTCCATGCGACAGGACCGGGGGGGCTCTAGCCACACTTCCATCCCTGACACGTAGGAGTGCGAGCTGGGGACCACGCTTTGAGAAGTACCTTCATTGCGTTTGCTCAGAACGGGGAAAAGTCCGCAGCTTTGCAGCCCGTAGGACAGATCGGACGCCTGTGGCAGGTAGATACCACTGTTGGGATAGTAGCCGCCTCCGCCTCCGCCTCCGCCTCCTGCTCCTGCCGCTTCCCCTCTGCCCGAGCTGATCAGGGAGTCTACCAAAAAAGAGTTTGCAGCCGGGTTCTCGGAGCATGACATTGTTGTGGAATAATTTGGCGAAGGGAGCAGATAGCCCTTTCTGGCTGACATTTCTTGTGCAAAACATGCTGAATATGATGAGAGATACCCCCGCGCCACGGCAGGCTGCTGCAGCCAATGGAAGCCCGGGCCTCCCCAACAACCCCTCCCCGTCTGGTTTCGTATGCACAGAGCTGCTCTCAGGTCGACCTCTGAATTTGGAAGATAGATGTATATTAATGTGTAATATGGATTTCCATACGCACAGACGCGCGCGCTTCGACCACATGGGCGAGCGTCTGCGCCCAGGCGGGAGCCGCGCTCCCGGGAAGGGGAAGGAGCGGGCTGTGCTGGTACTGGCTCCAAGTTTTGCTCCCCTCTTATCACACTCACCGCTATAAAATAGCCCGGCGGTCCTGATGTTTATTATACCTAGGCTGAAGCGGTGTCCAGATGAAGCTTTTACTATCGCTCCTCTTTCCCCGCGTTTGGGCTTTCCTGCAACAACGTCTGCTCACCTCCCTGCACAGCCTATGTGTCTCACGAAATTAATAAAACCGCGGCTCGCCCGGTGTTTTATGCCCAGGCTCTGCTCATTTTATTTGATTGTCTCGTTTTTTTAAGAAATAAAAGACGTGTTATTGTTTATCACGGATCATTGGAAACCGTAAAGGGGCCTGGTGCCTCCCGCGTTAAACTCCCGAGGAAGGGGGCTGCTTCCAGCCTAAAATCACCGCCACGACGCCAGTCTGGGCTTAATTTTCCTGGAGATAAAATGCTCACTGCTGCGCTGAGGAATCTCTTAGGGAGCAATGCCACTCTGGGAGGATTGATTGTGCGGTTGCAGCTCCTAATGCTTTAGTTAACGCTTGATTCTTCCCGGCGTCTGATTACCATTTAAAATGTAAAGCCAGACATATGTCACAGAAAGAATCCAGACGCGAGCAGTTCAAATGGATCTTCGCAGGATGCTGCGCACCGTGTTTATTGATGTGTTTATATTTGGGCGATCATTTTTATATCTCCCCTCCCTCCCCCTGCATTTGGGTCTTTTCACTTTTCGCCTCTTCAAAAGCACCGTCTCCTTTAAGTAACGTACTAAATAATAGAAGTAAGAGTAACTAGATAAATTCCGAGATACTAGACAGCCTTGTCCAGTCAATATGCAATTGTGGCGGAGGTAGCAGACGGATAGCAGACAGGCAGGGACGCAGACAGAGAGACAGATAGATTTCTTAATGAAATGCTTAATGATTGCTTGCTTTCACTTCCATCATCTCTCGCTTGTGCCATTTTGAAGTCGCCTCACTGCCTGGCCCGCGGAACTAAGGGCACTTTAGTTCAAGGGGAGCCTGAGGCTACCCAGTTCTCGCTGCCCATCCCTGAGGAGCATGGCTCGCTCCTCTCTTCCACACGCCGCCGGGAGAAGCAGCCATCGGCCGGTTTCCGCTTCCAGCAGGGCGGGCGGGTGAGAGCGGCTGCCGCCGGGCGACATCACGGCCCGGGCCGAGAGCTGCTGCCTGGCACACGTCTGCCATGCCCGGGAGGGCGCTGATGGCGGTGGTGGGGCCGCTGTCCGCCGGGCGGCGTGGTGTCGAGGCGGGTGCGGTTCCCCGCATCCCCGGGCGCCTACCCTCGGCCTTCAAAACCCCCCGGGGAGCACTCTTTCCCCCTCACCCCAAGGATCTGTCAAACCCCACGTGGTCTTGTCCTGTAGTGTTTGCCTGCCACGGGGAAATGCTTTTCCCACAACGTGACATTCCTCCCTCCTTGCAACGGGAAGGCAGTGTCCCTTCCCTCGGGTCTCTCCTTGTGCCCTCGGAAAGCATGGGCCAGGCAGGGGATGCTACAACTTTGCAACATCCATAAAACCTCTGTGATTTTTCCAGTGTGATGGGGTGAGCATCACAACGCGATTTCCTTCTGACCGGCCCGTGGGATGCAGTGACAGTGGTAGATCTCTCAGCCTATAGAAACCCTTCGAGCCTTTTTTTCCTTCTCCTATTTCTTCTTGTAGCATTGTTTGTATTTTCCTAACCTGAATAACTCCGCGATGTGTTAATGTGCGACGGACAAACCCTTATCAGATTCCTATGAGGGCCATATCACTACTAACAAAATTAATACCACATAAGGCACCGATTTATTGGCTGGTATACAGGAAGGCTATTATCAATAGGCTTAGCGTTATAAATACAGAACTAAATAAAACGAAACGTGAGCCCCAGCGCCGCCTTCCAAATACATTTCTCTACATAAGTCAGGTATAAAAATTACTCCGGGGAAGTCCGCTCTTGCGGTATGTTTATTTTGCATTTGCCAAATTAAATAGAAATGGATTGCAAACCTAAAAGCCATACGGAACCGAGGAGAAACGCTTGAAATCGTTCCAGAACTGTTTTTAAATAAGCAGCTCCCTTCTAAAAATTGGATTAAAGAGGAGGAAAGTACTATAAAAAGTACACTGTCGTCAGCCGGAAAAAAAATGACTGGAAATGCAACGAAGAAACACGAATTGGCTTCTCCCTCTCTGCAAGCCAATGCAGGGGAATCAGACAAAAGGCACAGAAGTCGGTGAGGATTTTGAAGGTTATCTTTAGCCTCCTCTCCTAGGTTTTGTAGCAGCGGGCTACCCCCTGCCGTGTCAGGTCCTGTGGGTGCTGCCGAGGGGTGTTGTGTTGACCGCAGTGAACAGTGGCGGTTTGATGGTCAAGGCACCGGCTGCATCTAGATCATGAACTCAGCTCGGCGTTGCATTATCTCCGCTTTCTTTAATCGCTAACAAGGCCAAGGCAAATAGTAACCAGCATCATCAAACCCAGTGAAGTAAAACTAATAATGTTCACTTGATTCGTAACTATAAAAGATAATGGTCAATTCTGACTAAACAGAGCTAATTTGGCATGCGTTGGGTGCAGCTACTGCATTACCAGCACTTAACAATGTGTCCCTTGGAACTTAACCCCTATTTAAAAGAAATTTTAAAGAATATTGTGGACGCCAGGGGACGAGAATTACTTTCTTTTTAATTCTACTTCTGTAAGTAAAGCTATCCGAGGGTCTATAAAAGCGAGCAAATAAAATTCTGATAAATATCAAAGCCGCTGAGAAGGTGCTTTGGTGGAGAATCTAAATTCACGGCGTACATAGACAATACTATCAAAATAAAATTTTATTGATCCAAGAAAAATATAATAGATGCATTAATAGGGTCGTTAAGCCATTTTATTGGTTGAACTAAAATTAAAAAACAAGAAGGGAATAAATAAAAACCGACAGCTCAGCCTAAGCAAACTCTGACTAGAAATCTCAAAATGTATCGTGTTAAACCGTGATTTATCTTCTTATTATTGGCCCGTATAACCCAAAAGATCAGCGCTGTTAATCCAGAGACGCATTTTGCGAGCTAATTAAAATATGCTTTTATTTGTAGACACGGGTAAGCTGCAATTTGTGAAAACGTAAACGGCCTTGCAGTCTGTGCAGCAGTGCATGCGCCGCCTATCTGAGAATACAGCCGTGGACTACATTTTATACAGCTCCAAAAATTAATGCGATCAGACTATAGTTATTTAATATTGGAACTGTCAATTGTCTGGAACGTGCGTGTGTGCCAGATTCCTCTTTCTTTTTTTTTTTTTTTTTTTTTTTTTTTTTTTTTTTTTTTTTTTTTTTTTTTTTTTTTTTTTTTTTTTTCTGGATTTGCTCCAAAGAAGGCGGATTTCAGACAGGAGGTTTAGGAACTGCGTCTGTGCCAAGTTAGGTGACAAGTGATGGATCCACTAATTTTATCTTTACTAGAAATTCTTTTACGTTGGTGGTGGTGCTGTGGAGGTTGGGTTGTTTTGGTGGATTATCTTGTTAAAAATTAGGCTGGGATTTAATTTTATTCCAGCCATCCGAAGGCTTGTTCTCCTAACTATGTTTTGTATTATACGTGTATCATTTTACTCATTTGGATTAGAAACATATTTTGCAAGCAATTCTGACGAGCTTCAAATTCTAGTGTGCGGCAGGACAAAATACACCCAAACAAATTCATTAGGGCTTTATTTCCTCGCCATTTTCCGGCACTAGCGAGAACAACGGGTCTTTCTATTGTCCGGAGAGCCCCAAACACCATGCAGAAGCAACAACGGTATCGGGTTATATATATGTGGGGAAAAATACTATATACCCAAGTCCGACTTTTAAGTGTACCCCTTCTATTGCGAGAGATGGGCCACACAGCTCTATCAAGCATTTGAAATTGTAGCCCTTCTCCTTTTTGTAACTGTCTTTCCTCTAAATAATGTCTGGATGCATATACAAATATCTTCTTGTTGTTGTTGTTGTGGTATAGTTTGGCTCTCAGACACACACGTTGGCCTGAAGTTTCGATTTCAGAGCATTTAATGAAAAGACTGTGACCCAAAAAAAAAAAAAAAGGGAGACAGCAAAACACAAACCCAAAGAGCTTATGAAAAAGCCTCCCAGGGGTTTGGATGTGGTATGTGAGCTGAAGTTCAGTACACGATTAATTAAACACAGTGTAGACACTGACTTGGCTTCGCCTCTTCCCTCCAAAACATGCAAACCCAAATAATGTGAAATAATAAACAGTTATTGTAAGAAACAAGCTTGTTTTTTTTAAATATTATCCTATGACCGCGGCCGTCAGTAAACAATTCGTAACCAGAGGGCGCTTTAACTGCTGTTGGGGTCCCTTTGATTTATTCAGCCGAGTATTGAATGGGGCAGGGAAACAACAAGGGGAAAAATAAATATTTGATCAAATATGCGGAGTTTAACTTGACTGGTGTAAAATGAAATGTTGCAAAGGGACCTTCAAATCCCCCTGCTTCTCACGTGGCTTCTCACGTCCTGGCACTGCTGAGGGGAAGTCAAAAGGAATCAACATCCCCGAGCTTTTAATGGCGCATCTTTGATGAAATCGATAGGTTCCGATAATCATCTAAAAGCTGCTCTCTACCGACTGAGCATGTGCTTTTAACTACATTTGCAACAGTCCCCTGTAAGTACAATTAAAAAAAAAAAACACTGCAGGCAAGTCGCATTACTTTACATACAAGACCAAGGACAAAATAATATTTTCATTTTTCCGGACAGATATTTAAAACCCTGTCCTAAGAAACACGTGTATTAAAATATGTAGCCAAACCAGTATCTCCTCCATATAATACCACCTTCCCTCCCGCCCTTCTCAAATGGAGACATAACAAAAACATGTGAAAATTTTATGGGCATGAAAAGTAACCTGGAGTTAGGGATACTCGTAGTGAGGATAGAGTTTCAAAGCTAAAACCCAGAGCAGCCTTGAGCACACGAGAATGTGTGACCATTGTTTGTTTACAGCACATGTGCTGATTAAGAAAAAAAGAAAGAAAAAGAAAGAAAAAGGAAATCGAAATCCAAATCCGGTCTTGCACGAACATTGACTTAATATGCAATCACATGAGTAGTTTTTAGCATAAGTATGTCAAAAGTTGTTTACCACAATCTGTGTCCAGCTGTAAGGAAGTAGACTATCCTTTTAAGTTACCAAACTATAGTTCAAGACTAATAAGATCGTCAGAATTGTCTGTCATTTGCAGACTGTGTTGCCATAGATCTATTTGATTGAAGACACCTACTGTTCCACACATAAATGTCAAGTTTCATAATATTTCCAATGCTACACTTTACTTTTTTTTTTTTTTTTTTTTTTTTTTTAAATAACTGGAAGAAAGCTAAAAGTTCCTCTGAAAAAATATTTCCAGATAACGTGGATTTTCCATGCGGCCGGCCAAAACGAAGAGAAAATAAAAGGTCAACTGCAACGTAGAAAGTTCCTTCTATATTATTTCACATACTAACCACCAACTTTTTGCATCCCTTCCCATCCCTACAGTTCTCTTTCGCGGTGGTCAGCGGTCGGGGCAAGGGCCACCCCAGATAGCAGGGTACTATTCCAGTCATCTCACACTCCTCGCCACTCTCCACGCTGGGTAGATGTATAAAACACTTACCTTCGTGGATTTCCTAACTCAAAACCCAGAGGCTTTAACTCCACCGAGAAGCCCCTGCAGCTCCCCCAACCCCCGGCATCCCGGACGGCTTTTTGTACCGCGGAGCCCAGTAAGTGCAATAATTACCCGTGTGGCTCCAGGGTTGCAAAATGAACAAAGGCCAAGATTTTCTTTTTTTTTTTTTTTTTTTTCCCCCCTCCTTTGCAGGGCTGCTCCCCTCGCCCTGGGCGGCTTTGACATTGATCTGAAGATCGCCATCTTGTGGTAAAGCAGCCCCTAAACCACGGCCGCCGTCCGTCCGCCTGCCTGCCCGCCGGGGCCCCGCGGCAGGACGGAGGGCGGGCGGACTGACGGACGGACGGCGGCGGCGGTGGAGGGCTGTGATCGCTCACCTCCCAGTGTACAAACCTCTGGGCGAACCTCCGCTGCCTTTATAGTGATGCATTTTGTACAGGCGAGCGGACAAGTCACGGACAGTTTTTATGGCCACGATGTCGCAGCAACACAGAGGATGCGATTTTATTGGGCTAGGAAATCCAAACCCCGACCACAGAAACTCCATGCTTTAGATGTCTCTGGGATTGGCTCTGAATACCAGTTAATTTTTAACCAGGAAAGGAAGCTCGTACACTTAACTTTCATTGCCATTCAGCTCTCCATCCGTCCCTCTGTCCCTATCCCACCGTCTGTTCATCCATCTGTCTGTCTCCTTTTAACTGGCATTTCCCCTTGCATACTGGTCAAACAAACAAAGTCCCGTCTTTTCCCCCTCACTTTTCAACATTCCCCTTGGGCAAACGTTGTCTGACTGGGTGACAGTGGTCAACGAAGGCCCAAAGTCAGTAAGTCCTTCACCTCAAGGTTATGGGTGATGTCCAAGCAATACAGAAGTTCAAAGCCAGTAAACAACGGGAAAACAGAATGTGCTTTCTTCTCCTGACTAGGATTAGGGTCAGCATTAAAGATTCAAACACTCTTCCCAAAACACATTTCTACCTCAGCTATTGTTTGGGGGTTTGTGTCCCCTCCTCCCCCCAACTTTCTCCCTCCAGCCCTCCTTCCCCCTTGCCTGCCGCCCGCCTCAGTCCGCCCCCTTCTTGCCGTGGAGATCAAGGACAATTTCAAACAGTCCATTTCCACCACACTGCATGTGGATTTTTTTCCCCTCAAAGACAAAAATTTTCTCAGGGCTCTCAGCTTCTGGCCACATCCATCGGCTGTCTTGGACCTTCTTTTTGGTGCTGGCTTATAAAATGTGCCCCAAATGCTACTGACAAACATTGTCCTGGACACATGTGGTGGGGAGCAAGCAGCGATGGCACATCAAACCTCAAGCATAGGACCTTGCCCTACCAGCATTGGCAGGATAAGGAAAAGGCCTAACACGTAGCGAGCTACGAACACACTTAATTTTCCTTTTCCTGTGACCCACTGAAACGGTGCTCGAACAAGCCTAGGTTCACTTGTTAACTCCAGAGTAGAAAATTTAATGACCAAGTTCACTAAAGAAGAGTAATTCGCCCCAAATGACTGAACAAGGTCATGAGGAATTTCGGGTCCCAGAGTTACACCAGATAAAAGAACATGCAGTAATATAACACCAGAGTAAAAATGTAGTTTCCATTTTTTTTTATTTTCCTTGTGCGCTGTTCCACTGTATACATGCAACCAAATACTTTCGCATATTAAAAGAAAACTGTATATACATATAGATGATACATATTGAAAACAGTGACATCATATAAAGATATTGCATTTTGTGAACTGTGACAAAGAAATTACATCCATTTGATAAATTTATTAATCAAAAAACATTCTTATCATCACTTTGTTGCACATGTAAAGAAATCCCACACCCTTTAGCCCCAAAGGAACAATTAAAAAAAAAAAAAACAAACCAAACCAAACCAAAAAAACTAACCAAGGGGGGAAAATTATTTGAACAAAATAGGTCATGGGTTCTTTTATTTATTATTTACAAGTCTTGTAAAACACCGTTCCTGTATGAAATATACATTCAGATATTCTCAACAGCAAATTACCTTAACGATAGAACACTGTATCCTTTGTAAACTGATATAGAATTTTAAATATTTTCCTTTTTTTTTTCTCTTTTTTTTTTTTTTTAATTGCATTTTTTCACGCTTTGGTTCCTGCAGGGAAATATATATATTTATAGATATTTAAAATAAGTCCGAACAACTCTCCATTCTTTGCATATGTCGACTGGGCGACAAAGTAGAGCTCATGACATTTAAAGTAGACAACGACAAAATTACCATATCTACATTGTTTGGCTTCTGTTTAAACTCCTCACTAATCACCTTTAAACGAACATGTGATCAAGTTATTTTAATGATCCAATGTTAGTGCATTGCACAACTCCAAGTTTCAATTAAGTGTTGTGTGGTATTTGCTAAACTGTCGTTCTCCACAGGTATTTCCTGAAGAAAGTTTGTGAGCCAGAAGCCAGAAGGTTAGTTTGCTTTATGGAGTTGTTTCTTCTAAAACGCTGAAATTCACACTTTTTGCCGTTTTATTTTTAGTATTATATATGATTTGTCTCTGAAAAGATGACAACGCATAGAGTGTTGTCATAAATAAAACGAGAGCTAATTAAAATTTGCTAATTTTATTTTTAGTGATTGTTACTTTACGATATATGGCGAATTTATACCTGATTTTAAAAAGTAAATCATTAAGTAATTCATTTAGTTCTTTTTCTTCCCTCGCCCCCATCCCACACTCCCAAAGGAAACACTATTATAACCATCACTACATCCATATTACAACTAGTCGCGGTTGGCCCCGGGAAGGTGTAGACATGACATCCCTCCTTCCTTTAATTCTCTGTGTGTGTGTGTGTCCTTAAATTCTCATTTCAAATCCGTGGGCAATGGAACACTGCCTCTAACCCAGACATTTTCTGCTAAGGAAGAACAAAAGATTATTTCTCTGAGTTTATATTCTGCAGTGGTCCTGGTTGGGTGAGCTCGACCTAGCAATCTCCAGACAGCTGTTTCACAGCAGCACAGGGGCTAGAAAGAGCCGAGGGTGGGAGAGTCCAGGGACAGAGGGGTACCGTCCCCGCCTGTGCCTGCCGAAAGTGGTGGCAGGGTGAGCCGCAACGCCTGGAAAGGTAAGAGGTATGGATTTTGCACTCAGAGGTGACGTGCGCTTTTAGAAATGGATCCCATGTGTGTCAAAATCAAATCGATTCCAGTTGATATGTAAATATATATATGAAAAATCATCATTGCAGTTCCAGACTAGGCTTACACGTGTGTAAAGCCTTGGATTCTTTTAGTCCTATCAGATACACACCTCCTTCCTCCACATAACCCCGTGGCTTGACCTTGTCAAGGGCGAAATCTGAATTTAATCTCGTCTTGAAAAACACTATGAGTTTTAAAGTAGTGGATTAGCTGAGTAATATTGTAATCGGTCCCTGTTAATTTTTTTTTCTTTCATTCTTCTGTTCTGAAACCATATTTTGACTTGGCGGTCGGTCAGATTGAGCATTCGGGAGAGCTGGAGGCGTTTCTCTTTGTTTATGTAGACACTGAAGAAGAATTCCCTTTCTAACTCTCTAATCTGATATTTGGTGTATGGGCATCTCTTTTTACGCGTACGTTGTCCACCTGTGGAGTGAAAAAAGGCAGAAACATTTGAGACCCGGCGGTGGCCGGCAGCAGAGGCTGAGGAGAGATGGGGGAACACTCAGGCAAAACACATTAATATGGAAAAGATGCGTTTTGCCCCCTCCGGGGTTGGCGTTGGCAGGTCCGAGGCTTGGCGCCAGCCTTTCTCCTTGGCCAGTGCGTGCAGCCCGGGACCGGGACCCCCCCGGCTCCTGCAGCGCCGCGGCCCCGGGCAGCGTGCAGGGCGAAACCCCCGCCGAGACGCGGGAATCAGCCTCGCTTCCTCCGCGGGGAGGGCGGCCAGAGGAAGAGGTGGTGGCGGGGGGTTCCTGCGGGTTTCACGAGCCGGAGGAAAGCCTTTGTAGAGTGCTCCGCCGGGCGCCACCACGCACGCGGAGCTGCCCAGGGAGCGGCCATCACCTGGCTGCCTGCAGCGGGCAGCGCTGCATCGGGCGGGGAGACCCCGCGCCCAGCCCTCCCCGAGCCCGTATCCGCTTGTATCTCGCCCTCGTTCCCTGCCTTAATCCTGTCCCTGTGTCCCGAGCAGAGGAAAAGCTCCTGAGCCCAAGGCTGAGGCGTCTCCTTCTCCCCTCAGCAGGCTATTTTCAAGCACGAGGTATTCTCCTCTCGATTAGCCATTACGGTTTTAAAGTTCATTAAGCAGAATATAAAAGGTTTCAAGGTTCAGGAACTCTTTACATTAAATGTAGCTGCTATCCCTTTAAAAACTTCCTTTTCTGGTACAGTTCATTGTCGAGGTATTTTTTCTCCCGTCTGTATACTAGCTTTGCCTTTTAAAAAGCCCACATAAAAAAATCAGACTTTGACAGATTGAATAACAATTGTAAGTAACAAACTGTTGGACAGGAGGCAACACGTAATTGCCACAGTGCCTTACTAAAATGGCTTCCTTTAGACAAAAAGGCCAGCTTTGGGTTAATTTGCTTTTTTAAATATATTGCTACAGTTCAGGCGGCTACTTTATCTGTTAAACGCTATTCTAGTGCAATCGTTAAAACGGTGAAGGCTTTGAATTCAGTTCCTAACTAGACTTCTGGTGCAACACATGGCTTTTATAAAATCACTGGATTACATTGATATCAAAGGAGTCAGGATCTCCTTTTTTTTTTTTTTTTTTTGCCGAATTTACAGGCACCAAACGAACGTTACTATATTTCGAGAGTTGACCACGAAACTCTTTTTATTATTAATATTAAAAAAGGGGGAAAAAATGGAAAAAAAGGAGAAGGAGAAAGAAAAAAAATTTTTAGGCATCCATTGCCCGGTGGGTATTTCACGGCCAATTTCAGCACTAAACACGTGATCTCGCCTTTTATAACAAAGTTTTGTTGGGGGAAATCTAAAGGCCCTTCATAAACCTTATATGCTTATAAAACAGCATATAAAAATTTAACAGCGGCGGTGCGCTAGATTTCAAGCTGCCTTTCCTAAAAGCGCTCCGGCGCTGCCTTTATACGTACTGGAACTGCCGGATTTCTCCTCATTGTTGCCGGAAGATGACTCGGGGCTGCTGCTGCTCTCCGGCCGCCTCCTCCTCTCCTTCTCCGCCGCCGCCGCCGCCGCCGCCCTGCCGCAGCCGCCCTCCGAACTTGAAGTTGCCGCCGCCGCCGCCCCGGCGGCCGCGGGCGCCTTCTCGCCACTCTTGTCTACCGAGTAGTCCGCCGAGGCCAGGTTTTCCGCTGTGCCATAAGCCGTCTCGAAAAATTGGTCGAAAGCCTGGGGTAGGACCCCGTTCCTGCCCACAGTGCTATAGAAATTGGAGGAGACGTTGGTGCTGGGGTGGTAGACGTTAGCTGTGTTTTTGCCGAACATCTCGCCCATGCTAGCAGTGTTGGTGGCAGGCAGGCAGTCTCTGTGCATGATCTCCTCTGCGGAGTAGCAGTGGGGCAGATTGTTCCTGGGGTGCCATTTACTGGAGGGATCAATGGCATATTCCCTGAAGGTAACTTCTCTCACAGGTTGGACCTGGGGTAGGTTGGAGGAGTAGGAGTATGTCATAGGGCGAGAAGACGGGGTTTGGGGCAAAAAAGAAGGGAGGCTGGAAAAATCAGGACCCGAGACGTAGTAAGTACAACTTGGCAAATACATGTTAGAGGAACAAGGAACACGCTCATCAAAATCCATCATTAGGGCTACCTCGGCTTCTCCGCATTAGCTGAGCTTAACATGATTCTCTAACGCAGCTGCCCCTTTGAAGCGGATCCGTGAAGTAAGAGATGGGGAGACGTAAGCTGACGTGGAGAGCTCTCCCGGCGGCGGCAGGGAGGTGCGGTCACGTGGCCCGACGTTGACATTGACGAGCGGCGGGCCCGGGCCCCGCTCCCTTTGTGGCCGTCGCGGGGGAAAGCAACAGCTCGTCGCCAGCTCCCAGGGGCGAGCCGAGCGCAGGTTGGCCGGGGGGGAGCCCTGGGGGACACACAGCCGCCCTGCCACTGCCCCAGACATAGCCGCCCGGCCCCTGGCACCCTCTGGCTCTGGAGCAGAGAGGCTTATCAATTCCCCCCGGGGTTAGGTGAGACCTTTCTGTTTGTTTGTGGGCTTGCTGGGGCGTTCGGCGGCTCGCTGGAAGGCTCTGAGAAGGAGGGCACCGTAGAGATGCACGCACGGTTTCTTCTGGAAAGCTACTTCCGAGGAGGAAACGCTCCTGAAGAAAACGTCCTTTTTTTTTTTCTTTTTTTTTTTTTTTTCCTTTTTTGGGGGGGTTAGGTTTGGGCTTTCCCCACTCCCATCCAAAAAAAAAAAAAAAAATAAAAGAAAGAAAAAGTCCTCACCCTTCATGGTTTTTCTGGAAACGTTAAGAGGAAGAATGTGTCAGGGTCAAGTCTTTACTAATTTTCATGGTGAATAGATTACATGCTTGCATTCATGTTCACTTCCGAAGCGCTTAGTGTCTTCCTTCCCTTACTTACATATTAACCTCAAATACCCCGCGCGGCTTCAGCCAAGCTGTACTGGAGGTAATTAACAATACCAGGTTCCCAGGACGCAGGTTCTCCCTCCTCACCCCCTTCAAATCGTCCCCTGCCTCATTCGCAAAGCCAGAAAACCAGAAAGCCCTTTAAAGTGCAGACCACGGACCTAAAGACTGTTTGCTGATCTCTCCGTCTCAACTTTGCCGCTAAATACTTGGAAAACCAGTGGATATTGGGCTATCCCGGCTTGACAAATACTCTGAGTTTAATTGTCAGAAGACTAGTTAAAATTATTTGACATACTGTTAACCCCCAGAAACAAACTCGCCGTACCGACATACTTTCCATTCAGCTTCGTACCGTCGCTGAAGGCTGAGACCCAGGGAGACCTATTTCAAAAACATGGTTAAACTTTTACTATTGTTGCATGAAAGGGACGATATAGAAAGCGGATTGTACAGGGCAGAGACCAAAAAGTACTTCTCTGCCAATAAAAATGCACACCCCACCGAACGAGCAGAGCCAAAGAAAACAGAGGAATACGCCAAAGAATACAGCACCTTTTGAGGCACGGACATCCCTAAGCTCTCGGAAAAAATATTTTTTTGCTATTCTGATGCTCGATTTCAGAAAAGAAATATTTGGGTTCCGGGTGGATTTCATCAAAATAGAAAAACAGAACGGCAAAAGGCTATTGTGAAGTCAGTGTTCTTAGGAAATCAGACGTAGTTCAAGATCCATGCCCTCGTGGACTTGGGAGTCTAGTGGAAGGGAAACGAAAATATTAGGGAAATAATATTTGTATTTTCCCCCCTCTTCCTCTACAGTGTTGTGGGAGTATTTATGTATCCGGAGAAAGTTCTCCAGTAAATTCTGGAGATCTTCGGTATTTAAATGTCAACATCGATTTGTTTATTTATTGCTTAGTTTATCGTAACCGACTCAATAACAAATCTAATCATGTTGTGCAGAGAGAAAATATTCTCATTATGTATTTCCCCTACATTACAGTTAACTATTGCGTTTGAATTCAAGCTGTAAATTCAATATTATCAAGTAATTACTTTGTAGTGGAGTAAACTAATTTATTAGCATTAATGTTTATATGCCTTTTTCTTATTTTACAAGGGTTACCGTTCACAAATCAAATGCTCTGGACGTATCCCTGTAATGAACTCTTTATTTTGGTTTTCTGCAAGAACTTCTTATGCTTACTGCATGTCTGATCTGAACTTGAAATTAATGAATTAATCTTCCAGCTTGACACATTTGCTAGAAGGTGAATGGAAAGAGATCGCATATCGTCAAAACCGCTAGCAGAACACTGCAATGTCGTTCAGGGATTGTAAAAGGGTTTGGGGGTTTTCCCTCTCTCTCCCTCTTTTTTTTTTCTTTCTTTCTTTCTTTCTTTTTCTTTTTAGTTGAGGTGGGGAGGGTTGTGCCAGAGCTCTGGTTAGGTTTTTCCTTAACGCTGTAATTTTGCTGGAATTTACTTTCCCCCTAGTTTTTGCGGGGGAGGTGGGAGGGAAGGGTGGGCTGGGGGGTCGGAAGCCCTCTTTTGGTCTCCGAACGTTGGTTATTTCCCCTGTATACCCCACCGTTCAATTCTGTCGATGAAAAACCTCTCCCCACACTCTGCATACACGCAGACACCCCTCCCTTCGAACAAAAAGGAATGTATAAGGATTTCAGTGACTTTGAGATAACAAAGGCGCCACCATTGCCGAGCCTCGCCCCGCCTCTGTGTGATGGCAAACAAATTCTTGCCACTTGTATTAGGGTTTTTAAGGCTATAATTGAACACGGCGCGTCTAGGAGAACCGAAAACAGTTCTAGACTGACCTGCGGTTTTATAGCACTTTGGCAGTCAACTTCAGCTTGTGTCAGAGCAGACATGACAAAGCTACCCAACGCTTAATCGCAGGACGCCACCTCCTCGGACTCAGGGCAGCCCCTCTCTCGCATTTCAATAAATTTCAAACCTTGGGGAGCAGAGCTGGCACAGGTTTGTATGGGGCTCTTTCCCGCTCCTCTCTGCAGCCGGGGCTGCGGCGCCGTGCGAGGGTCCGCCGTGCCAGAGGTCGGGGCTGCCTCTGGGAAACAAAGGGAAATTAAGGCAAGAAGGGCGAGAAGGCAACTGGAAGTAGGAGTGTGTGTGCGCGGGTGTGTGTGTGCCTGGGCATATATATGCTTGCACAGCATGCACACGTGCAGCCCCGATGCCTGCTTTTGAATCGCTCGAACTCTCCCCCCCCACCTCTCCAAACCAAGCAGCCTCGTTCTTCAAGTGGGTTTGCAACGCAGGAGGACCCCAAAACGCCTCCGAGTTCCGCCTGCACAACAAGCGGGAAGGGCAATGGGGAAGTCTAAGAGGTGCACAGCTCGTCTGGGAGCGAGTAGACACCCAAGGCACAGAGTGTTCTCTGCTTTATTTGCTGTTAAGTGAAACAGAGATAATGTGCGCTTAAAGCACCGGAATGTGTGGGTAATTGCAGGGAGCCTGCTGTTAAGTTGCTGTGTTCAGCACAATTATCAATGTTGATTATTTGGTCTAATGTTGAATTGCTCTTTTAATACAGTAATTGGGACTTCCGCGTTGAGGAAGGGGGGAAACCGTGCCTTCCCCTCTCTAACCTCATTGAGAACAACATAAACAAAGTCAGGCATTTCGTTTGGAGAAACAAAATGCATTCGTTACGCCTTCCCATGTATTTCGTCCGGATTAGAGAGGGTAAAACCGCTCTGAAATTGGGACCTCTGCTGCAGGACGGTTTTGCAAAGGAGAAGCGTGGCCAAGAGGTGGGGAAACTGTTACCCATAGCTAAGCTAAACAAAGAGAGGAAGAAAAGCTACATCTCTTCTTTGGAGGAACATAAACAGAACTAGGACGCCTCGATAGCCTAGCTTTTACATATACAGATGGCGTGCAAAGGGGACTTTTTAATTCACTGCCGCTTCTCCAAAAGGTCAAGTTGTACTGTATCTAAAATTGTTGTCCTTTGGTACACGGTTTTGCTTGAAAAATATTTGAAGTCGACTATTTACCTTGCCAGTAGGGTGGGTGTCTCTAATTAACAGGAGAAACGTGTGCTAGAAGGAATTCGCGTCAAGAGTAGCTAATTAAAGTATTACAGGATTGCTGGCTTCAATCTCTGCTCCTCTCGCGTAGGAAGGGTGAGGGGTGTTACGACTCGAGCACGAGAAAATAACTCAGAAATTGGGACGGCGTTTTGTAAAATTGCGGGTTGATTACAGTCTACAAAGGCTTACTACAAAAACGTGGCACTAGGGAATTCACAACGTTGTTGCCAACGAAAAGTGCACCCCCTTCCCACCTTTACCAATGAAAATAGGGGCACAAGGCGATAATTCGTTACAAAATTTGCCAGGAACGCAGCTTCAGAAAAACGCACTTCTTATTTGGATTTTAAATATTTCGGGGTCAGAAGTTTTTAAAAGGCGTTTCTTTTCTGTTTCCTGTTTTGTCTGTTATGGAAAGGAACTATACATAGCCATCTTTTTTTTTTTTTAAACTAAATATGCAATAGAATGTAGTGCTACAATAGTTACCTAAATAATTTAAATAATAGGTGATTTATATATATATCAGCGAGATGGAAGCCCAGCGCTGTGACATGGGACCGACTATTTATTATCCAAAACCTGAAGCGGTATGGTTGTGGTTTTGCTAGGGAACTGCAGAATACCTGTAAAGAGAATGAGCTGATGTAAAGAGGATTCAAGTCAATGTTATTCTGACTTTTTTTTCTTTTTTTTTTTTTTTTTTTTTTTTTAAACGAACGCATTACATTATTTCATAGGTTTGAACACCCCGAAAGGCTGTGCTCATCCGGGGGTAGAATATTTTAGATTAATTTTAATATCAATTACCGAAATCCTTTCGTTTCCTCTATCACCCTCTCTGTCTTTTTAAGTCGCTGAGGTGGAAAAGCTTCAGAGGGTGGTTGTTTTTTTTTTTTTTTTTCTACCAAACCTCCCGTCTATTTTGAATATTAGAATTAAACGACTACGAACCTACAGAGATCTACCCGTTGTTGGCGACTAATCATGATATTTTGCTCATCAGAGCAAAAAGGGCCCTCTCCGAGGGCTCTCTTTGAAGGCAGCCTGACTCTGGTATCTGCAACAAGCCGAAATATAGCGGGCTTTTTTCAAGAGAAGAAGCTCCTCACTCCCCGGTTCCCCAGCCCTGCG